GGATGTCAAACTGACTCGTCGTTCGCGAACAGCTCGTGTTCGGTTTGTGTTCGGCTCGTTCGTTAAGAAACGAACACGAGCTTATTTCAAACAAACTAAATTTTAAACGAACCGAACACGAACACAAGCTTTGTTCGTTCGTGTTCGGTTCGTTTACACCCCTACGCTAGCTATCTTTTGAGAGTTAAATCGATATGATGGCCATTGAAAATTTCTTGTCATCATTTCATCAATCAATGTATACGCCTTTGCAAATGGCTTAGACATGAGTGAACCCCCTGTTGCTACATCTATTATGACCAAAGAGATCCCATCAGTCAGTTATAAAAAGTTGGAATGATAAGTCTCGTGGCTTGGGCACTTCTAGAGCATCTCTTTAAACATCACCCAAGTATTGTATATGGATTCACCATCCAACTGAAAGAGAGATGTGATGCCATTCATTTGTAAGTTCGGCAGTTTTTTAAGGTGTGAAATACTTTGCTAAGAATTTTTTAGCAAAGTCAGTCCAAGTAGTTATAGACCCTGAGCTAAAGAATTCAACCAAACTTTAGTTTTTATCTCTAAGAGACCATGATAATAAATTAAGTCTAAAGCGTCGTTCGAGACACCGTTATATCTAAAAGTTGCACATATTTCTAAATGAGATTAAAATCTTCCACGTGTGAGCCCCCGACTTGATTATTTTGGGTCATTTGAATGTATAGCAGGTTTAAGTTCGAAAGTGTTGCCCTGAATGATATTGGCTTATTGATACTCATATGAATTTCATCTAACATAGCGTTGGCAAATTCTATAAATGTTATTCCTAGGGTTTAAGTTCGGAAGTGTTGCCCTGAATGATATAGGCTTATTGATACTCATATGAATTTCATCTACCATAGCGTTGGCAAATTCTATAAGGGGTCTGAAATGTTATTCCTGAGGTGGATTTGTCATCTCTCTTAATTGCTTTTTGAGTTTTTTTAAGTTTCTGATTTTTTACATTCTTTTTCTAATTCAAGGTAGTACGGTGCTAGTTCTGAAGTTCCAGTCCTACGCATACACAAGTAGAGTGATCTAATGAAGTGGCCCTAAACAAATAGAGTAAAACAAGTGAAAACTAAAAACTAGCAAATAATGTGCTGAAAGTATAAAACAAACAATACACAAGAATTTAGACAATAAAGAGAAAGCAGCAAAACAGATGCACGCACTCAATATTTTCGGAATGTTTATAACAAAGCAAACAACAAAACACTTACAATAAATGCACAATACCATAGTTTTCAAGTCTAAAACATAATGGTCTGGATAAAATTTTTAAAAAATTAAAAATTCAACGTCGTTTCCCGACAATGGCGCCAAAAATTTGATACGAACCTAATATTGTGAAGCGCTGGTAAATCACATAAGTATATGTGTAGTTCAAGTAAAATACGGATCAAAGCTCGTATATCGATCCTACAAGAAACGAGTGAAATTCAAAAACTAAAACTTCTAATATACCGTTTTTGAATCTAGCAAGAGTGTTTGATTTTTTTTATATTTTTATTAAGTCACTACTACTAAATTTCAAAATAAAAATATCCTAAGCCAATGAGGTACGAGTTTCAAATAAGTTTTATGTTGTTTGAAAAAATCTCCTCTGAATTGATTCTACAGGAATATAAGTCATAATTTGTGATTCAAATTGTAGATGGCAATCAAGAGGGATACTCATCCTTATCCCCTCCTAGGCATTTAAGAAGGTTCGACAAACATACAAACTTAGTTCCCTAAAACAAGTGTTTAGCTCAGGATTCCATTTCTCCCTAAAAGATTGCACTAATCTCTATTCCCCTAAATTAATGTGATTTAACCTAATTGTTCCCCAAGAATTCTACTGAAATTCAAAGTTCACAACATGTTTTAACAATCCAGCTAGCTAGGATAAATGTAAAAAAAGAATAGAAGCTTAAATCACCACCTAATACAAATTACAGTGAAAATCAGGCAAGTTGATCCGAACCTTACATTTCAACATCCAATTCAAAGGAAAATAGAAATTATAGTTAGTAAACATGCTTGAAAACAACAACAATTTCATTTCATTCATAATAAATAACACAAGCAAATGTTTAAATGATAGAACAAGATTAAGAAGATTGCACTAATATCTCTTCCTCCTCTAATTGAAATATTGATGTTACAAACACACTTATACATTGAAGAAGTCTCTAATTCACTCCTCTCCTCCATCACTTGCACTTGGATCTTCTTGCTCTGGCATTTTCTCCTCAATCCAATGCGTGTAGAATGCGTGGAGAGTCCCCTTTCCTATGAACAAAGGAGAATTTTGGGACGTGATGGTAAGATGTGATCCCGTCGTTGGCTTCCAACTTAACTTGAAGCGCAATTGCTTTGCACAGTCCGGTCACAAATGTGGCGCCCCGTATACTGCAATCCCTTTGTTGCTTCCCAGCTAGCTTGAATCATGATTGTTTCTAGTTATGATGTCATTTGTAAGCTCCGCAATCCTGTCAGATTCCCAAAATGCTTCCTAGAATCCAATGCTCAAATATCAATTTGATAGCAAAGGGATAAACTTTGACAGAGATTTGGGCAAACAATATTTTATTTCATCAACACAAAACAATACAACCCAAATACGTAAAGGATAAACACTTATAACTCAAGAGGTAGGCGATCTCTCTCAAATTCTAGCCCTATTACCTCATTTGAGAGGTAGGTGATCTCTCTCAAACCCTAACCCTAAGATTCAAGACAACAATCACACATAACATAACACAACAATAAACATATTAGCCCTATTTATATCCCAGAATAATAATTGACAATGACTAAATTTTTATTTTAGCCTTGCACCTCAAATAAATCTTCAAACTATGGTGGGCTCAACGCAGCAAAAAACATTATTGATGTTGGTCTAACACATTCCCAATTATATTCTCTGACTTTGTTGAAAAGGGTAAATGAGATCAATGTTGACAATAGATGTGGTAAATTTTTTAATTAGAGTCAAGTTGTATGATTAGATGTGGTGTGATATCCTGTGATGAAATATGTAACATTTTTTTCATTCGATCGTGGGAGTATCGAGTATGATAGGATACACTTCATAATGGTCATGAAAACAACTACTTGTCTATCAATGAATATGACACTATTCTAGGGTTTCTAGATAGTGAAAGAGAGAACACAAAAAAGGGTTAGGTAAATTTAGGATGGGTAGCGGAGGTGTAAGCAGTAATGAAGAATGAAATACGGCGTAAACAACAACTGGACAACAAGCTGATTGTGAAGAAACAACAAGTTGTTGTTGTTAAACGGCACGTGGCAGCAAGTTCGGAGAGGAAGTCTTCAAACTTCAAAGAGAAAAGGCCGCTTCGATTCAATCATTTTATAGGCACACCACCTAAGAAAAAAAAACATTTAATTAGAGAAAACAGAGAAAAAAAGTCTTCAAACTATATAAATAAAAGTCCCCTTGACCAAGTTCCACATAATAAATTTATATTAATGAATAAATGAAAACCTAATTATAAGTTAAAATATACTGAATAAGGGCCCGCAGAATGTGTTACAGGCAAAGAGTGGGAATTTTCCCGCTACAATCTCCTCCCGAGACAAATCACATCCCGATTCGTTCCTGCGTATGTGGATTTTGTGATTCCTCTTGACGCGAGGCATCTGCATTCAACTGAAAACGTATTTTACTTATGTCACTAAATAATTAGTATTGATGAGTACACAGACAGAGACAGGAGTTATAGTGCCTCATGCTATATTTCTACAAGCCATGAGAGATGCATCAGTTGGATGTCTTATTGATGTTAGAGGGCAATGAGATAAAGGAGTCGATACCTTAAGTATAAAGACCTCTATTGGAGAAATTCTAAAATTTTTTGACTGCCACCCTGCTATTTAGATTGTCATCCTAATGAGGGATTCAACATGTTATAGGCCCATCACTGGTGCTCCCGAACCAATGAATCCACTAAATACTAAATGCGACCAACAGAGTATGAGGAGCTGCAGAAACAAGTTGATGAACTAACCCGTGGACTAGTTCGTGAGACCACCAATCCATATGTCGTACCAGTTTTGATTGAGTCAAAAAAGAGTGGATCATGGAGATGGGCATTAATAATAGTCATAAAAAAGATCATTATCAAGTACCAATTTCTCATTTCAAAATTTGATGATTTACTTAACTAGACATGGAACCAGTGCCTTCTTTGAAATCGACTTGTGCACTGGTTGGCACTAAATCAAGATGAGACTATGAAAAGAGTGAAACAAAGCTTTTAAGACATTAGATGGACTGTATGAGTAGACAGTAATTAGTCCTTTGAGTTGTTCAAGGCACCAAGCACTTTCATGCGACTAATGAAAAATAGTATTAAGCTTACATTGGGCAGTTTGTGGTTGTGTACTTTGTCGGCATATTGGTATACAATCGTTCAAAAGAAGAACACTTGTAGCACTTGTAACATGCGTTGGGAGTTTTTCGAACATAGAAGTTATATGACCACCCGAAGAAGTGCCCTCTGCTAACACCCTACAGACATGCTTCCAAGGGTGCATTATTTCAGCAACCAACATTGAGATAGACCCAATAAAGGTCAAGGCTAGTGTCATAATGGAAACATGATAAGACACTTTAGCATGGACAAGGCATTTCTTAGTAAAAGAGTATTTATATTGGCTTAGGTTGGTACAAGATATGAAAAGACATGTCAGACAATGTAGGGTATTCGTTTGAATAAACCTCAAGGACAAAATACAGACTTATAGACTCCTCGTCCCACTTCAGAGGCACTTTGGTTAGATTGAGCATGGACTTTGCTGTGGGTTTGCCATGGACACAATAAAGATCCTGTTATGATAATGATAGACATCTTACTCCAAAATTGCACATTTTGTTCGTTGCCATAAGATAATGGACGCATCACACATTGCAGATTTATACTTCAAAAAAATAATTTGCCTACATCGTACACCAAAGAACATCAATTCGCACAGAAGTGTAAAATTTTTTAGCCACTTCTAAATAACTTTATGGGGTAAGTTAGGTACAAAGGTCCAATTTAGTACAGCAACACACCCAAAAATGAATTGTCAGACATAGGTTGTGAAATATAATTTGAAAAATCTACTCAAGTGTTTTGTGGGAAAGAACATTAAGCAGCAGAATATTCACAAGTTGAGTGCCTATAACCAATCCAGTAGCCAGTCCATAGGTCTCAACCCATTTGAGATTGTATATTGGCAAGGTCCTCTCACTCCATTGATGTTAATGTTGATACATCCAGCTATTGAACAAGCATAGAGAGTCAGGCATATTCAGACATTACATGAGTAGGTGAGAACATAACTTGCTAAGAAAAATGTTAAATATCAGAGGGAGACGAACAAATCTAAAAAATCTCAGGTCTTTAAGGAAAATGACTTAATATTGATCACAATAATAATGAGAGGTTTCATGCATGCTCTTTAGGAAACTCAAGCTTATAGCTAATGGTTCATTCAAAATCACAATGAAGATCAATGACAAATATGTACAAGGAGACTACAGTATTCCTGCTACATTTAATGTCACCGACTTGTCATCGTACTACGAGGAACTGGGAGCTTCCAATAAAGAAGGTGAATTCTCTCCTATCCGAGAAGAGTGACACATGAGTAGCTCTGTGATTCTGTGATCCCCATTTACACGAGATCGAGCTAGGGATGGAATCTCATCCCATGAGAATCAGAGCAGGAAACTTCACACCTTCAAATTGACGCCAAGCTTGTGGGCTATTGTTCATAATAGTTCAAATAGAATTATGTCAATTGTGAGGGAAAAGTATTTATATATAGTTATTTTTCTTACTCTAGAATTTTGGCTTTGATTTGATAATAGTAGAGATTTATTTCTCTGAAATTTTCCTATTCAAAGAGTTGTACCATCTTCTTCTTCTTCAAGTCGTGAGTTTGTACATTGAAGAGAACAGGTGTTAGAGCTTTTTCTTGTATGTGCTTCACTGCTCGAGGAGCCACCAGCTTCCTTGATGTTTTTAGCTCAGACATTTTCCAAACTTCTTGAATCCCACTCCAAACCGCACCAATGTCATGTATTCTCTTTCTCTAATTGTTCCACAATCCCTCCCTACTAAATATGATCCTTAAACACCATTTAGGATTCTTCGAACGGTGTCATAACCTTGAACTAATTTTAAATATTCATACTTTAAATCTTGATATTAAAATATTACAATGGCTAATATGAGTATTAAATATTCTAAATGAACAAGCTAATTTTTAATTCAATTTAACTTTAAATAGACCAATTTTATGTTAAACTTTACTTTTATTATCCTTCAAAATTAGATTATATAAAATATTAAACCAATTAATAGTTAAATTAATTTTACATAGCCTTTTAAAATAGTTGCATCATTATCGTTATTATTGCAGTTAGAAAGTAGCCTTAAGATGAGACTTTCTAAAATTTACGTGATGCTTTCAAAAATTGTACTATAAATTTTGTTTTATTACTGCGCACATGATTTATTTTCTTGCTTCAAAGAATGGTAAGTTGTATGCATTCAATATCAGAGTATTTTGTTGTAATGATAAGCAAAAATCTACTCCCACATGCATCGTGTGTTTTTTGGATGTGGATATCTTAAGAAAAATGGTAAATTCCAATAGAGCTCTAACAGAGATAATTATTTTCAAACTAAAAAGAACTAAAATTTGTCACGCATATACCACCTACATTGTAGAGATCAATCATCAATTCATCTGGATTTGGAGAAAATGCACTGTTGACGTACACGAACTGCCAAAAGATGGCGGAAGTTACCATAACAGTACTAATGCAAGTGCAACAATTAAACAGCTAGTATTTTCATAATAGTATTTTCATAAAGAACAGCCTTACCAGAGTATCTTTATGAAGTTGACGTCGTAGAAATTCAATCACGGTAGAGAATTTATTACTTCCAGCTGTCTGACAAAAGGTATTTGCAAATGAAGCATGAAGCAAAAAAAACCCATAGGTAACTCGCTTAAGTTTAAACTTATATAATGAAATTTTACTACAACAAATCATTAGAACAATGATAATCAGGATTTAAAGCATGATTCGACCAAAAAGTTTTAAAATTCTAAATAAAAGTAGATGAAGTTCTAACATGAATTACATTGCTACACTTTCGCATTGAGAATTAAATTGCGACATCCATTCTGTTACAACATTAAAAAAAGATTTTTGTAAGATATTAAAAAAGATTTTTGCAAGACAGGATGTGATCCCCCTAGCAACATTTAAAGACTGAAAGAAAAAAGGGAAAAAACCACTAGATTTCCATCATTAACATGAATAATTAAGAAATATTGACTAAATTTCATATACTAGCATGGAAAACAGTGTCATTCGAAATCAAAGGCAACTAATAAAGTTAGGTATGATGCAGGCAGAGAGGTCGCAGAAATTCAGTGATGAATATATATTTTGCATTTAAAAAGCATTAAATTATAGCATAGTGAAGCGTATAAAATGTAAAATTGAAACTTAAAAGAAGAAAATATAATTTAAAAGTGATTAGAACTCCTTATTACTTCAAAGCTAACATTTTGATCAAAGTCCAAAAGAAAATAGATGTTATTAATGTATCATAATTGTAGCGTGGGATGCTTACCACACCATAACCTCTCCCAACTAAAGCCTCTCTCGTCCCCTTCAAGAGTTCTGAGGAGGGATTTAAATAATGATCACCAATCAGCCCAGAACAGATAGTGATTAAATAAAACTTGAACACGAACCAAAAAGAGGACAAATATGGTCCGAGTAGAATGAATTAGATCCCATATATTTAGCTTTGTTGTCCGACCAAGTAACCGACTACTTATGAAAGCCCAGATGTGGAATAAAAGAAACAGAACGATAAAGTAGCAGGACTGTGGTGATATTTATAAGTGAGCATGACAAAACTTGCAGATGCCAGAGGAAGGGGGGAGCAAGAAACATTCTAGTTGGCAATGTTAATGGTTTGTAGCTATAGCAATAATGAAGTAGCAGAGAAAGAATGAGTCCAAAGGACAACTAACACCAGCAACTATAAATGAGCATGAAAAAGGAGAAAATCTGTAGAGTTACGGAAAGAGGTAGAAATATTTTAGATTGCAATGTTGACGATCTACAGCTACAAATATAATGTAGGATACAAGTGTGATGTGAGGGTGAAGCGAAAAACTATCATACATGTAAATTATGACCAAAGGTAAAGGAGTTGAAGGAAACAAATTCAAATAGAGCTAAATTTCGTATCCTTCTCTTTTATTCCTTTTTACTTGTTTGTTTATTGAAATATACAAGGAATAAAGCATTTTAAAATTTCATCGTATCATTCTAACTTAGTTATAGCATCTTATTCATTAAACTTGTACCACCTAATGCTATCAATAAGTTATTTTATTGTCATATTTTAAACAAAAATATGAATACTTGCAATATATTTACAATACTTGGTAAAATAATATTTTTGTAAGTTCCACTTTTTACATTAAAAGATTAATATTTAACAAAGCGATGGTATTTTGTACTAAATATATTGCAAATACTATTTTTTTTGGTTAAGTAAAAAGACATTATATTAGGACTACAATAATAACTTCACTCAAAAATTAGAACCTTGGACACTACATAAATAGAAAAGAACAAAATAATAATAATAATAATAAATGTGTTAACCACAAATAAACTGGATAAGGCAAATGATGATGAGTGTCTTATCTTTATAATGAAATACGACACCTCATGGCTGAAGTAATTTTATGTGTTAACACACTATAGGTGGATCATACGCTCTTCAGCCTTCAAAATGCTTTCTTTGAGTTCCACGTGTCTTACACTTGCATATGTACATATAACAAATTGTGAAATCCTATGATATGCTTCCCCTACACTTAGAATTAAAAATCATCACCTATCATTACATTTTTATTAAAAACATCTTTGCATCCTTAGTACAACAACAACAACAAGTGTTTATCCCACTAAGTGGGGTCGGCTACATGAATATTTTTCTCTATTGTATCCCATATATTCATTTAATTCTAATAATTTAAGATCATTTTTATATAATATACCCAAGCCTTTCTAGGTCTACCTCTGCCTTTTTTAACATAAGTCCAATCTAAAACATCTACTATCATAACCGGTTCATCGAATGGTCGGCGTTTAATGTGATCAAACCATCTAAAACGACTCTCTAATTTTGTCTGCCACTGGAACTACACAAACCCTATCAATTCATCTTTGCATCCTTAGTGAAAATCATTTTTTTTTTTTAACTTTTTGCTCACGCAATCATATTTGTTAACCCTTAAACTAGAGACCTTGTGGTTAAAGACAAAGCACCCAACCACTAGGTGTGTTAAGCCTTAAGTTAGAGACCTTATGCTTCGATACAGGGCACCCAACAATTAGACCAAGTGGGATGCACAGCAGAAATCACAACATTATCCATGGCATGGATATCAAACAACATAATACTTCTATGTTGGCATATATATCAAGATAAATAATATTTATGCTTTCAAAGATTAAATATTTTGTCTTCCTCTTTTGGTAAGTTTAAGTCCTTTATCCTTTGAGCTTGTGGTAACTAATGTGCATAAGAACTTTAGCCCGGGAACTAAGAATGATAGCCCCAATGGCATCAAGCATATCTGGAGTTCAGCTCATCCATGTATAATATACAATTATGTTTATATCTTAAGAATTATAAGTCGTTCATTGGACTGCATATTCTTTTAATGGAAATTAGAATTATTTTACTCAACATTATTGAATACGTTAGTTTGCTATTGAGGGTTCAACTCCATAAATAAAGGTCATCAAGATAAAAGTATTTAATGCAAGATTGATGAGGAGTGACACTCTCTTTGCCATAAATGTGAAATGCATCTTTTGTTTCAAATGAGGTGCTTAGAGAACAGACAATGGACTCACACCAGTCTAGCCAATTCAATTCTCAATGCCTCTTCATTTTGTTATTGTAATTTTTGGGAGGGAAAAAATAATTATTCCTCTTCAATTTTCTAAGATCTGGTTACAATATAAATAACATGGGAAGGCTACCACATAAGGAAAGCCATACGATCCTCATGCTGGAAAAAAATAATTAGACAGTACCAATAATAACTAATTCTAAAAATTTTAAATAATAAAGAATAAAAGATACTAAAAGGGAAAAAATTTAAAATTCCGACACCCCCTCAAGTTCTAGCATGATATCTATCAAGCCCAACTTGCTTACAAGGAACTTAAAAGTAGCCTAAAAATTATTTTGGTGAAGATATATGCTATTGTTTGCATTGTCGGAGTGAAAGGCGTGCAAATAGCTCCACAATCAAACTTCTCTTTTATGAAGTCTCTATCAATCTCCACATGTTTTGTGCAATCAAGTTATACTGGATTTTCTACAATGCTTATAGCCGCTTTATTGTAATAATATAACATCATTGGCATGACTATCGGAATCAGTAGCTCTTCAAGAATTCTCTTTAGTCATCATCTCACATACTCTATTAGTCATAGCTTGACATCCTGCCTCGATACTACTCATTGTCACCACATTATGTTCCTTACTTTGTCATGTAACCGGATTTCCCCATATATAAGTACAGTATACGAACGTCGATCTCCGGTCAACAATTGAGCCTATACAATCTGCATTGGTATATGCCTCAATATTTTGTTGTGTGGTCTTACAAAATGGTAAACCCTTACCTATTATACTCAGGTATCTAAGAACTTTGTTAACTGCTTTAAAGTGTTTCTTAGAGAGTATAAATTGACTTACCAAACTTAAAGCAAAGGCGATTTATGGCAGTATATGTGATAAGTATATCAACTTTCCCGCCAACTTTTGATATCGAGTTGCATTCACTGGGTCACCATTCTTCTTATCTTCTAGCTTCTGATTGTGATCAATTGAAGTGTTTGGAGGCCTACAACCACGCATATCAGATTTCTTCGGGAGATCAAAAACATAATTCCATTAGAAAACAACAATCCCTTAGATCTAGCAACCTACATGCCAAGGAAATACCTCAGAGATCCTAAGTCATTGGTCTCAAAAACTAATGAACGGAAGTCTTCAATTGGTTCATTCATCTACGTCATCTCTAGTGAATTATATCGTCCAAAAACACGATCAGTATGGCTATCTTCCCATCTTTTGAATGTCTGAAGGATATTATATGATCTCTTTGTCATTGAGTATACTCCTGACCTTTAACTAACAATGTAAACTTCTCAAACCTTGCTCTTTGATGACTAATTCAACCTGTACAAGAATATTTTTAGTTTGCACTTCTTTGTGTCGAACATCCTACTATAACCTCGAAGTGCATCCATGTACACTTTTTACTCTAAGTCCCCAGGGAGAAATGCATTTTTATATCCAACTATTGAAGAGGACATTCAAGATTAGCTGCAAGTAACATAAGAACTCTAATATAGTGTATTTTGCGACAAGGGCGAATGTCTCCAAGTAATCGATGTCATAGGTCTGAGTGCATCCCTTGGCAATCAGTCGAGTATTGTACTGTTCTAGAGATTCATCATAATTATACTTGACTGTAAACACTCATTTGTATTTGATAGTTTTCTTTCCTCTAGGTAGGTCAACAAATTTTTATGTGTTATTTTTTCCCTAAAGCTTTCATCTCCTCGAAGACAGACTCCTTCAACTTAAAAACTTTCAGAGAATCCTACACAATATTAGAATCTCTATGCAAGACAAATGTGTGGTAAAAGCCTGAAAATTAGATGAGAGATTTTCATATGACACATAATGAGATAACGGATGTTAGGGGTAAGACCTCACCCCCTTATAAGCAGCAATGACATGACTAGAATTATTAAGTTAAGAATTGGGGCTAAACTTAGATTCGGGATTAGAATTCTCAAAACTCGAAGATGAAGTGAACTGATCATGG